TATTTGTAGAAAAGACAGAAGCCATATCACACCTGTGAGAAAGTAACTGGAGTCAAGATGCCAGGTTAGGACCTATCATATTGCATAAGAGATGACCATACAGCTATTTTATTGTAGGGTAGATTAGATCCAGCATGTAGCATCCTTGAATCCACAAAAACAAAGAATTTTACTGAATAGCAGAAACTACATTATTTAAACTTTCAACAGCAGCAGCAATTAAAATGGATAGTACAATTAATATGAAGAGAAAATGTTATAATTAACATGATTAGCCTTCCATACTACCTTAAGCAAAAGGGGAAGGAAACCCCCATCAATACTGGAAAGAGCAATGACAGCTACTGAACTTGAGAAGCCTATATTCTTGAAAAACTATTTTAAGACAAAGATTTTATAAATTTCTACTGACAGGAATGCTCACTGTTCAGTCAATGAATACCAAATGTTTCCTTATAAGGAAATGGCTAATCAAACTATTACCACATATTCTATGAAGATTCTTTACCAATCATTTTTTCAGTGTCCATTTGATGCTATTATAGAATGAAATTGATGCCACTATAACCTGGAAGATGTCTTGTTTCATATTTTCTGATAAAGCAGATTTCTGGTTAAAATTAAACATTCATATTTTGCACAAGGAAAATATATAAAATGAAAATGTCTGCAAGTATTAGAATTGCTTCTCTGTGTAATTCTGGTTTGAAATAATAATTCTGTCAAGTTCAAGGCTTTTTTCTTTTTTGCTATAAAAGCCAAACTCTTAGATGCAAGTAAAGTTTGAGATATCTATCAGAAAAATAATAAAGTTTCAATGACATAATTCAATTTTTATTCATTATATAAGTTGGTGACATTGCTCAGGTTGTGAAATGTCCAACATCTGGTTTAGAAAATAGAATAAGCCTTTGGCACAAGTAAAGTTCTTTCTTGTCAATGAGACATAACGCCCAATACAAATCAACATAAGTGGAAATGTAAATTGTCTGAGATTTGCCTGAACACAACAGCTATTTTTTCCTCTTTTTGTTTTTGCATTTTTTCAACTGCTTACAGTTAATGAATTCAGGTATTACTGTTTTTTTCCTTTTATTCCGTATATTCTGTACAATGAAAATGAATCTGTAACTTCATTACCACCTTGTGTTCTGAAGAAAGAAAGTTTGCTGTAGGTAAATTTCTGATATTACTCAACCAAACACTCTGTCAAATGGCAATGGGATAAAAGAAAGGAATTTTAAAAAGAAAAATTTAGACACTACTGCCATCTTGTGGTAAGAGCTGGAACTTCTGATAATGATTACTTGACTGCTTTCAAGTGAATGTCAAGGTTTTTTTTTTTTTTTTTAACTAAGACATTTCATCAGTCTTAATACTTATGATACAATACCTGTTCTAATGTCATGTGCATGGCTACAAAAATGTTTTTTTTTTTTTTTTCACTACTGTGTGCTTTAGTATACAAGTTACTTAGCAAATAAAAGCTTGAGGTATAAATCAGGGCCAGTGTGTACTACCTTCAAATCCCCTGACTGGAAGGAAGAGCATAATTGTGGGCAGTATTTTGTGACCCTTGCTGTCTTATCAACATTTGCTTTTTTCTTCCTACATTTGTTACAAATTAAACTAAGAACAACTCACTATTAAAGAATAAAAAATCTTGGGTGATTTTGTTATCATTCTGGGGACTTCTTTTGATTTTGTTCAAATCTGAATTTGTTTTGTTTATACTATATCTCAAAATAGCACTGTTTTAACATTCACTTTTTTTTTACCATAATGTTGAATAAGTTAAATTATTCAACATTTTAACAAAAAAAATCTCCAGTTGATGTAAAAAATTGATGCAAAACATTTTTGATTTATTTAAGATGGCATGATCAATATGACACATCTCTAATTTGTATTTAGATAGATTGTATTTATTTTCAAGTTGAATTGTTTACCTATATTGCTTATGATCCATTATTGTACATAATTAGGTTACAATAAAAATTTTGTATGAATACTACCTCATGAAAATTGAGATATAGTAGTGTCTGGGGCATAGATTCAGTGGGATAACATAAGAACCTTGTACCAACTCTGGTAAATATAAGTACTGACAATAAGGGTTTACATTATCAGAATCGGTCTGGGTACATTCAGATGTAATCCCATACATGTGTGTACATTTTTTATATATATATATATATATAGATCCGACAGTATGAAGAAAAATATACTGAAAAAACAAACAAAATCCTAATATGTGATTATGCAGTTTTAATGTTTAATGTCAACATCGGATGTTTCGGTTTAATAGACCATCTTCAGGACATATTCATAAAACATAATTAACATAGACCATATACAATTCAACATGAAAAAGACGATGGACATAAAAGCAATACCAATCCAAACAGATAACTGAAATCTTTTATAAGATCAGCGTTCCGTTTAAATATGATCATGTCGTCATCACTTGGGTGATGTGAAAACGTATTCCTAAAATTTGAGTATTTTGAATGAAAATTATTGAATATTTTGATTTCAGTTATCTGTTTGGATTTGTATTGATTTTATGTCCATCGTCTTTTTCATGTTGAATTGTATATGGTCTATGTTAATTATGTTTTATAAATATGTCCTGAAGATGGTCTATTAGACCGAAACGTCTGACGTTGACATTAAACAGTAAAAAACAGCATATTAGGATTTTTGTTTGTTTTTTTTCAGTATATTTTTTTTTATATATATATATATATATATATATATATATATATATATATATATATATATATATAGTTTTAAGGTATACTGTGAGTTAAAGTGCTTGATATCAAGTATAGAGAATATGTAAATATAAAAGTGGACATTGAAGTCAACACCCAGCAGAGACTGTTTCATGTTTAAATACAATTATCAGATATTCATACATATATCAGTAAATTTGCAGTTTTACAAATGAAAATCACATTTAGTTTATACAAAAATAATTAAATATTCTATGGTGGGCACAAAATTTTACTAGTGCTTTAAAAACAGACATTTTAAAATTATATATAAATATATGCAAAACTGCAAAACACAAAGGGGAAATAAGAAAAAAATAAAATTACTTATGATAAAGTAGTGGATCAAAATAATATATAACAAAAAGAAATAAATGATTATGCTCCTCACTCTTCTAAGCCAATTGAGGACAAAAAATATGAATATATATATTCAAAGACTAAGAAAGGGGAGAAAGAAATCTGCCAGAAAATTAGCAAAATTTCATTTAGACCCAGTAGCCATAGCATCTGTTTACACCTGGGTGGCTGCTTAGACGTAATATAATTGAACTCAACGACAAAAATATTTATTTTTCAGTATAATCTCTTTGTCAATGCATTGAATTAAGTGATGAATATCAATCATATAAATTAAACATTATACAGGGAAAATTTCAGATCAAAATTCAGTTAATAAGTATCGTCCACCGCAAGGAAAGTTAGCTCTCTGTGCCGTGCCAGGAAATTTTTCTCCCTTGAATCGTCCTTGCATGGAGTACTGCTGCCATATATGGTCTGGTGCACCTTCTGTTTACCTCGGAATTCTTGACAAGATCTAGAGTTGAATATATAATATAATTGGCCCTGATCTGGCATCTCGTCTACAGTTTCTCTCTCACAGACGCACTGTCACCTCTCTCTGTCTTTTTTACAAATACTTTCATGGTAATTGCTCCGATGAGCTGCTTTCACTGGTTCCCAGACTTCATGAATTCAAGCGCCCTACGAGGCTGGCATCCCGCTCTCACCCTTTCACTGTTGAAACTAATAAATGTAGCCGTCTCTTCTATTCCAATAGCTTCATATCTCACACCTCTCGCCTGTGGAACACCCTTCCCAATTACTGTTTCCCTGAGAGCTATAATCTCCAACTATTCAAGTGTAATGTCAATCAACATCTCCAGTTACCTTGATCTATCCATTATCCTTCTCCTTATCCTTTATTCTATCACTCCTATCTGCTCTCGCTCCAAATCTTCTGCAACCCCCTGCATCCTAGTGGCTTCCCACCTTGCTCGGGGCGTAATGCTTAAAAAAAAAAATGTCAGGCTTCAGATTTATTGATTCACGCATGTATACAAAATATGGAAATGATGTGATTACAGGAAACATTCAGCATTTATTGATTGAACAGTTAGCATTATTGTCAGTCAAAGTTTATTAATTTTTTCTCTTGAAACAGTCTTTCAAAAAAATCAACTTCTCAAGTCTACTGTTATCACTCTTTCTAATCCTGAAAGGCGTTTCCTTCCTAATCTATTATTTAAGATAGTTTAGAATATCAACATTTTGATATCATTCTTTTCACTTTTACTTAAGATGTACTATCCATTTAAGTTGTTGCCCTTGAGAGTGATGGTAATTTTAAATAATGTGTTTATATCTATTTATCAATATTTAATAATCAAACATGATTGAGTTCAATTTAGTTAATATATTGATGTTTATTCTGATTGTTGTCAGCTCATAATGAAAAGAAGTAACATTCCTTGCCAGGATGAATGAATAAGCAATAAGAATGAAAATTATAATTGATGCAGCCAAAGATGTCTGATCTATATCTTAGAAAGAGAGGGAAAAATAATTTAGGAGCAGTTTATATAAATTTTCAAAGTAAAGGGAAATACATTCCTTAGTTTTACTCAGACATACACACACGTGTATATATATATATATATATATATATATATATATATATATATATATATATATTGACAGTTACTCATTTCTGAGAACACCCATCTACTTGGGTGGCTAGCCAATCCCTGTTGCAAACGCCTGCTCAGGCACATTTGTATTTGTTTAAAAGAGCCAGCCTATGGTTTATACTGCAACTATGCAGAGTAGACATTAGTTTCAGTTTCTGGGAGAAAGCATACAATCTGGTGGGATCAAAGTTTTTTTTTTTTTTTTAACGAGGCCAGTCTACTCAAACCCTCAGTCACAAATACTTGTGAAGGCTTCCGGTCATATCATTTTGAAACATCAGATCCTATGCAATCACTGAAGTTAAGCAAGGTCAAGCCTGGTCAGTACCTAGATGGGTGACCACTTGGGAATAGCAGGTGCTGTAAGCTTGGATGTGCAGGTTGTGTAATGGATAATGGTTCTGAATTGTTAATCATGAGAACCAAGTTCCAATTCCAGTTGGGTTCATTATATTCTCTTAAGCACAAATATTCTTGGGAAATGTATGGATCCATTTCTACTTTCCCAGCTAAGGGTTAATTAGTAACACCTGTATCACTAAAACCATTATCTCCTCAAAAATTCTCAGAATTTAAAAATGTTTTCTGGCTTTAAATAACCTGAAAAGGGTTGATAAGCCATAGAAAATCAATAAAAAAAACAAACTTGTGACTGCATGCAAACACAACTACTGATGGCTTTTAAACAGTTTTGTCTACCCAGAGAAGCATGAGTTAACCTGTGGTAGGAATTCCAGACACTTGCTAATGGTGCCACATGCTGGGATGTCTTCCCCAGGCTAATAACATCAAGAATTCCACCTCCCTAACAAAATGAATTATGGCCAAGTGGTTAGAATGTTTACTTCCTGACCAATGAAAAGGAGAATATTTACAGTTTTCATTTCCCCATGATAGGCATTAGTATATCTTTGATTTACTAAGCACAAATATAATGTACACAGATACAAATATAATGGATAGAATCACTGAAAGAAAGGAATATGAAGCATGCATTGTTCTCTGAGATATTTTTATATTGCTAAGCCATACAAGAAATTATATACAATTATATTTATATATGTCGCTATTTGTCCCACACAGAGAAACTATAACATTAATAAAACAAGCAGAGTGGAAAGGCAAAAAGTGAGAGGCTCCTGTAATATCTCCCAAAGGAAAAATGGCCAGGCTGATGGTATGTTCTACAAACTTCGAGATACCATTTTGGCTCTTCCGGTTTGCCTACAGTAGTAAGTTTGAGATGTCATCAAGTGTCTTTGCAGTCTATCAATATCAACTAACAAGAGCAGACATGTCTTGTCTGTATATATGCTAAATAGCAACTGAAGTTTTGTCACCTTGAACTGACATCACTTACCAGTAATCACATGATATTTGTGACTTTGTCTTAATCAAAGGGAGATAATCATTCTTTGCATTCCTACATGATCCTGAGACCTGAGTTTGAATTTCACTCATATATATATATATATATATATATATCTATAATATGATAAAAAAAATTATCTTTTGCCTTCAAGTTTCTTAAATAAATGACTCATCAGAGTAGATAAATTTATTGAATTCATTAGCAGATATCATATTTATATACACTAAATACATAAATATGTATACAGTGTATATATCAGTATATTTGTTAATGAATTCAGTAGATTTATCTTGCCCTGACAAGTAATGTATCTGTGAGACTTGAAGATAAGTCTTTGAACTTTTGTTTATCTACTATTTTTTGCTCTATTAATATCGAGCAATTTGTTTGCAAGAATTTTCTCACCTTTAAATGTGATAAACTCCAGTAATTTATTGGCTAACTTGCTTTGTTAGACATTAACATATATAACCAGGCTAAAAACGTAGCCTTATTTATCAGTGAAATGCAATTTTACCTAGTTAATTAGATGTCCAAGTAAATATGACACAAGCTCAAAATTACTATTTCTTATATTATTAAACAGAATGGAGTCTGTAGATATTTTTGGTTCTTTAATATTTCTTCTTTTTGGTTGAGAAGGTCATTGCAAAAAGAACAATGAAAAACAAACTTTTACCAATTTTTCATTCCACAAATACACAAATCAATTGAACATGGAAACAGATTCAAATATCCGGAAATGAAGATATGTAGATTATTGACTGCCTAAGCAGAAGTGGGCTACTAACAACATCAGTAAGTGAAAAACAAAAAAAAATGATTGAAAGGATAGTGAAGGATGTGAGGAGAAACACAGTTAATAACAGATCTTGCTCCATTTGGTGACCTCTGGCAACCCAGACAACTAAATGGTTAAGAAAAAAAAAAATCTGGATTTGCATCACTATATTCTGACCTGGGTCCACCTACTCAATTTTTAGTGAAGAGGAAACATTCTCTTCCCCATCCCAGGCATCCCAAAGACTGAAAAAAAAGATAGGGAAAATGAGGTTTATTGATTTTCAAGACTATTTCTGTTGTTAATCAATATAAAGGCCTACACAATTATCAAAAGAACAACAAATATAATAACCTTTGAAATGTTCCACAAGTGTTTTGTGGAAAAGATATTAACATTTGTTTTACAAATAATTTTAAAGAAAGAAAAAAAAGGAGATGAAATGAAAGATTCATTTTGTTTTTATGCAGTTGGATTCACTTGTGAAGAATTTGTCTGGATCTTTTAGGGGATTATTGCTTGCAAAAGACAAATCAAAAGAGAAAAAAAGCAAATCAAACGGCAAGATAAATCCAATGAGTAAAAGACAAAGCAAAAGAAAAATCAAGATAAAAGACAAATTCAAAGAAAAAAAGACAAAGCAAGAGAGTAAAAGACAAATCAGAAGAACAAAAGACAAATCAAATTTGAAGGCGGGGTGTAGAGTGATGACCTCACTCACTGCTGCTGCTGCTTATTGGCTCATCTGAAACAATTCCTCAACACATTAAGTCAAACAGATTAAGCTGTTGAAGATTTCATAATTTCTTAAAAATCATATCTTTTATTTGAAGGTTAATAAATTGCCTTGTGTCATTTGAATTTAAAAGGCACATAGTCATTTCTTGTCAGTACAATAATATTTTCAAAAGCATAAAATACTGACTTTATTATGGAATTATTTTATCCTTAATAAAATCTGCATAATTTTATTTTTACAGTTATTTAATTAGCTACTAAATTCCAAAGTGTTGTTTTTAGACATATAATTAACATTTACAGTTAATTTATGTTTCAGTCCACAGCAGATATTGAAAATATTTGTATTAAAAGCTGGCCACAAAATTGAATAATTCTTATTTCTAACCAGATTTACATGTTGAATTGTTTCTAATACTTGCATTGTGTGCACTCTAAATAATTATTGAAAAAGAAGCTACATAGCATAGACGGTAAAGTTATAAATTAGCTATTCCCTTTGTTGTGGAGTAGCTGAACACCCCCATCCCTGAGATGGACTGGTCTAAGACTATTTAAACAGCACTCTCTCTTATGGAGAGAGAGGTGTTAATGATTAACTGTTTATAACATTAGTCTATGTTTTTCAACTGTGTACCATATTATTCTCTGGAATAAACTACTTTTTACTTTTCTCTCTCTCTCTCTCATATATATATATATATATATATAATCAACATTTCCTATTTACAACACAACACCCATATAAGGAAACATGTGACAGCCATTGTTTGAACATTTAGCATTAGCATTGGTTGAAATCTATAAAATCATTCCCTTAAAATAATTTTTCCAGTAAATAGATTTCTCAAGTCTTCTAAATGTTATTTATTGTAAGAGAATGGTTAGTTTCATATCATATTTGCCATCTATCTTCTTTTTCAGTGTCTATATGGTGCTGTTATAGAGCAAGTTGGATACAAAGAATGGCTTGTTAATTTTAATGCCTGAAAAATGAAACTGCTCTCTATTAATCATCTGAGAGACCCTTTTCTTCCTTTCATCAGAATGGCTGATGCTAACCGCCAGGAGAGTGACTCATTGTGTCTCCTCAGACTCATGTTCTCTGATGGCATTGAAGTGAAAAGATTAGATTGAACCAAGTGCTAGGTCTGCTTCTAAGAAAGTTGGTTCACTGAGTTGTGCTCGACAATTTGTTCTCTCTAGTATCTATCTTACATATTTATAAGTCTACCATTCATTCCTGCTTCAATCATTGCTGCCACATAGGTCTGGTGCTCCTGCTATATATTTAGAGATTCTTAATAAAATCCAAAGAAGAATTCACAGTGTTATTGGTCCTGGCCTGTCATCTTGGATCTAGTCACTTTCCTACCACTGTAATGTAGCTTTCCTGTGCCTTTTTTATAAATAATTTGCATAGTTCTGATGAACTTTTCTATATGGTACTTGGACCTTTCGAATTTAACTGCAGTACTAGATTGGCAACAAGATCTCATAAATTTAAAGTCAATTTAGCTAGATGTCACCATAAATTATATGTTAACAGTCTCTTCTCTCACACTTCTCCCCCATGAAACTCTTTTTTTGGTTACTTGCTTTCCAGTCAACTTTGATCATTAAAAATTTAAATGCAATGTCAGTCATTATCTACTATCTTAATTCCTCTTTTATTTTCTTGCACCTTAATAATGTTTTACTTATCTTATTCTTACACCCTCAGTAACTCCATATCTTAGTGGCATTACTGCCTTGCTTGGGATGAAATAATTAAAAAAAAATATGGCTTGGAAAACATCTTGTTTCATATTTTTTGATGAAATAGATTTTAGATGAGTTGAAACATTCATATTTTGCACAGCCTTCAAGCATTAGAATCACTTTTAACTGTAATTTATTCTAACAACTAAATATAAATGTTATTGCTCTTTTTAGTACTGATGAAGGTTTCCTTCCCAAAAATTTTGTTTAAAGTAATGTGGAAAGTTAATATCTTATGTCATTAATTTCTCTACAAGTTACATGTGCCATCCCTTTCAGGTGTTTCAAGTTTTCTGATGATATGGTTTCTGTTTCATGGTAAAGTTTTTTGTTTATCTGTATATAAAGATACTACATTTTGCATTGAATCTATCCTACAAAAACAAAATATGGTAATCTCTGAGTGTACCATATCTCAAAGTGTTTCTTTGTTTATGAATTTCTTCTCTGGGATTTTTCTGATATAAACAAAGACATCATGAAAAATTATTGATTGGTGTACAACTGATGATCAGTTATTACATCATATAATCTACCAATATTACAATTATTTATTAGAAAAAAAAATTTATGATATTTGTGTCCAAAGAAGATTAAGTCTGGATTTCAATATTTTAAGCATAAGCTGATTTTTATTCCCTTCAGTTGACTTGAACTATCTTTGACCAATGCCTTTGTTCAGTAGATTAAAAGTAAGTTTAAAGAAGAACAACTG